GCTCTAAAAAGCATAAAAAACACTAATTGTTTAAAAAATTTTTCAACATTTTTTTCTCAATTAAGTTTATTTAAAAGAGTGGATATTCAATGACTACCAAAAAAATTACCATTAATTTGTAGCAAAACAGTAATGAGTTATTAATTTTTTTCTTAAATAATGCAAAAATTTTTTATTATGAAAAAAGGTGTAAATAGTTAAAATTTTGAAAAACGGTTAAAAGTGTTTTTTTGGTTTGCTGTGAACTACAGATTGTCATAAATGTTTTGACTTTTCCAAAACTATAAAAAAAATTTTATTCACGGTTGACTCAATAATAAAATATGTGTATTTTTTACGAAGGAAAAAATATAGTAAAGTGTAAGTAATATTATGAAGAAGATTAGAATGACTAAATAAATTTTTAACATTCTAAATTTAACACTCCAGTTTTCTCCGTGTAACTAGCGGTCGGCTAGCGCCTGGCCAGACCGTCCGACTACCTGTCTATCCAGTGGCTGACAGCCCTTGACCAGAGTTTCAGCCCAGTCTACACAGGGTTGTTACAAAATTTACTTTTTTTGGCACGGTTTCCTCATGTTTAAACATTTTTTTCAATAATTATTTATAAAAATTATGCCAAACACCAAGAAGAGATTAATAAAGAAGAAGCGAAAGCCACAGAAAAAGTAAGTGTTGTTTTAACACCAAATGTGGTGTTAAAACGAAACGCAATATTTTTTTACTAGTGGTGTTATTTTAACACACCCAGGTGTTAGGTTATATTACTAACTGCGTCCACTAGTGTTAAAAAGACACCACTGTCTACAATACTGTTTCTAGTGTTTCATTCGAGAATCTCTCCTTTTATAAAAAAAATACAGAACTTAGGTATTCATTTGAGCGGATGGGAAGAAGAAGCCGAGCGCTCGACTGAAAGGGATAGTTCCAGTCAGGTATATCAGTGTGTGCCCCAGAGACGCTCACTGCCACCTGACTGATATTATCGCTCATTTGTTTTCCATATATTTTTAACGAAATTCTTGTTTTTCGATTTTTTACGAGCGATTTCTCGCTCGAATGCAACACTGAATTACCTCACTTATTTGAACATGGCCCACGCAATTCGACACAAAGTGTCGCATTTATTTGTACTTTGGTAGGCATAACGTCCGCGTAACATATGTCGGTGACATAATTCGATAAATTGACATGATTGACTGGTTTTGTTTGAACTCAACCAGTAGGAATGTACATAAGTATCTTCACAGAAAAAAACTCGACTCACTTTTGTTGCAACGCATTTGTAAGTCGGTCTCGAAATGAGTAATCGACAACTTGAAGTGACTCGAAATGAGTAATCGGCAACTTCAAGTGACTCAAAATGAAACAAATGTCAGGTTCTAGTTTTTGTGTATGTGTTATGTTGGCAACAACTGTAGAAAATGTCTGCTGCGCGTTGCGCCGTTACTTTTTTTTGTGTTTCGCATGTTTCGTGCAAGAAGACTAGAAACAGGAGGTCTAACTTCGTTCCATTCCTTCGGTAGGTAGAGGGGAAAATAGTGGGGCAAGCAGTCGGTGGAGCTTTCAGTTTGGGTTGCTGCGCGGTAGCAAATTAGCAAATTTCGCGCACACTAATACTTGTGAAAGTTGTTTCACTCGGAACAGCTGTCACGACTTCAAGAAGTTTTAGGTTATGCGTCTTATATACCAAGCATTGTTGAAAAATGTAAACTTTGTGAAAAATTGAAGAATTTTGGAATAATTTTATTAATAATACTTGTTAATAAAATTTTATAACTGTTTTGTGGTTTTTCATTGTAATAATTGACACAAAGAACTTCTAATTCTTGGAAATTTGAAAGGTAATATTTACTTACATTACTATGTTTATTTTTTATATTTATATGTTTTATGTTTATGGCATGTTTTTCATTATGAAACAAACATTGAATATAACTTTATTAGAGAATATTATATATATATATATATAGTAATTGAATTTACTTTATTAGAGCTATCTGCAGAGTGGAACAGTTAAAATCAACAATGGACCAGAGTATTGAAATCAAAAAGAATAAAATATTCAACCAGGTATTCAACTACCAGAAGTTTAAAAAAAATGTGCAGAATTTAAAATTACCAAATAAAAAGTGGACAGCAATTGTGAATCCAAGTGGTGAAATAATGTTTTTTAGAATTGAGAAAAATTATTGCTCATATCTGGCAGTTTCTATTGACACAGACCTGGATATAAAAATTTATTATCATACTAAAATGTTAAAGTGGATAAAATTCGACAAACCGCAGAAGGAAGCAGATGTTGAAAATATTTTACAAATAATTAATGGAATTATTCATTCCGAAGTAATGTATATGCAAGAATGAAATTTTTTTAAATTGAAAAAGAAAATTGCTTTATAAAAAGCATTAAAATTAACTTTAGAATTTAAATATTAATGACTTTTATCTCTTTAAGTAATTATTAATTTATGTGAATAAATCAGTCATATTTTATTGACATATTTTTAAATTCCATTTTTCTGATCAATTGGAATCTTAATCAATTTTTAAATTTAATGTATAATCAATTGCAATGTATATTCTAATTTGTTTTCTCTATTTGTATCAAACTATAGTGTCAACGAATTTCATTTTATGATCTATTTTAACATGTACAAATTAATTAATTCTATTTAAATGATGATCTTTTTTCACATGCGATAATTATTATTCTTTACATAAATTGTGCATAATATATTTAATTATTGAATGGAAAGTAAAGTATACACATAAAAAAATTGTAAAAGAAATGTACAATAAATGAATTAAAAATATTTATTGAACTATTTTTTAAACACATAAGAAATATAAGTAATTGTATAATTTTTATTAGTAATTAATGTACTGTAATATTTTGTATGTTAGAACTACATTTTAAATAAATACACTTAATATTAAAAAAAAGAAATAAACTTTCCATATAAACGAACGAAATAAAATACAAACCATTTTATAATTCGTAATACCTATTCGTGATATCGTAATACAAAATATGAAACATTCTTTATTAAAACTTATTTAAATATTTTACTTTTTAAATAACAAAAAATAACAGTACATGCAACACGTATAAAAGAATCAAAAACTAAAACCACATCATACTTTTTTCATTTTTTTAACCGTTTTATTAGGTTGCTTTTTTGTTTTTTTTTCTTTTGCTTGACTTTCACTGTTTGTCGGTACATCAATCTTCTCTTTTCCAACTAATTTCGAAAATTTCCTTAATCCTTTCTCCTTTTTCCGTGCTTCGTCATAAACATTGTTGTGTTTCTTGCAAATTATTTTTGCTCTCACAACTGTATAATAATTTATGACAGCTTTTGTTAGACTCTCCTTATGAATGTCGCATCCAACAAATGTTATCGACTCTGCTAAAACATTTTGCACTATGTGCTGAAAAAAATAATAATTTAGTTGCTCCTGACCTATTGTTTGTAGAATGGCATGTTCTAGTTTATTTAGAAGATTGTAAAGCAGGTCAGAAGGGTATTTTAGATAACCTCTACTTAGATTTTTGATCATCTGGTCTCTGGGTAAATTTCCTTCTGACTTTGTGACTGTCGAAAGACAATCTTGACAACTAGTCCAAGATGAAATTCTTTTACTTATAAATCCTGAAAAGTACGCCTGTACATATGGATTAACTGATTCAACGTTGTAATCATGGAAGTGTCTTGTTGTTAAATTTTCTTCATTGTTACTGTCACGTTCTACAATTGTTTCTAATGCTTGCAACCACTCTTTTTTATTTCCATGTACTTCTGAATCTTTTTCGCTTAATAAAGTCTCAAATATCTCTATGCCATCGACATTAGAGCCTTTTGGTGGTTTTACTAACGAGTAAAAGCTTATTAGGCGATAAACTTGAATGAACAGCAAAGGGTCTGGTTTGTCATGGGATCCACAACACCCTCGTATCATTCCAAACATACCCTAAAGAAATTAAGTATTAAAATACATGTAGCAATTTATAAATTGTAGCTATAGCTACTTTAATATATATTGTAATAATTAAAATATCTTACTTCAAGAGCATCTTGATTAAGTCTGGAAGTCATGAGGAAATCATAGTTACAGTTTTTGCATAGAAATTCCATGACTTCAATTACAGTGGTTAACCCTTTCAGTGTGTAGCTAAAATATAACAAAATGGTCCCAAAATGTGTAAGACCTTCTTGTAAATAAATTTTTATGACAATAGGTACTAAGGGGTTTTTGGGGTCGCTGATTACGATTCCGGTGTTAGTTTTCAAAAATTCAAAATGGCGGATCCAAAATGGCGGACACGATTTTGAAAAATTTATTGGATTCGCTTAAAAATCGTTACTCGGGGATTTTCGTGGTCGCTGATTACGAATCTGACATTAGTTTTTTAAAATTCAAAATGGCGGATCCAAAATGGCGGACACGATTTTGAAAAATTCATTGAATTCGCTTAAAATTCGTTATTCGGGGGTTTTCGGGGTCGCTGATTACGAATCTGTTATTAGCTTTTCAAAGTTTAAATGGTAAGAATTATTAAAAGAATTTATCCACTTTTAAAATTTTTCAAAATTTTTGGCGACCATTTTGGATGAAAAATTATTTGTTTTTAAAATCTTACTTCAGATTCGTGATCAGCGACCCCAACAACCCCCGAGTAAAAATTTTTAAAAGAATTTATCCACTTTTAAAATTTTTCAAAATTTTTGGCGGCCATTTTGGATGAAAAATGATTTATTTTGAAAATCTGACTTCAGAATCGTGATCAGCGACCCCAAAAACCCCCGAGTAAGAATTTCTAAAAGAATTTATCCACTTTTGAAATTTTTCAAAATTTTTGGCGGACATTTTGGATGAAAAATGATTTATTTTGAAAATCTGACTTCAGAATCGTGATCAGCGACCCCAAAAACCCCCGAGTAAAAATTTTTGCGAATATACGTTAAGATGTTTTCTTGTTCGGGCCATGACGTGTATACACGTCATCCACTGTTTGGGCCAGTTTTTTTCATGACGTGTATACACGTCATCCACAGTCAAGGGGTTAAGGTTACTATAAATCCTGTGTAAGTATTATCCGATAAAAAAACAAAATTATTTTCGTTTGATAACTTTTTCCACTTCTCGATGTATTCTCGGCAGTTGACGATTTCCTACAATTGTTAATGAATATTGTTATGTTTCTGATATAAATAAAAAATAGTCTTATTAGAGAACATTTTGTAAAAATGAAACACATTTAATTAATAATTAATAATACATACATGATAAAATGTATTGTTGCTCTTCAATGCGTTTAATGAGCTTCTTGATGTCATTGCAACTATAAGAGCTCCAATGCGATCCAGAAATCGTATGGTCGGTTCAGAATCCTGCAAATCTTTTTCTCCGTTTTTCCTATAAATGTCCATAGCCGTAGTTACGTTTGTAGAAAAGACCTAAAAATATAATTTTTGTTTCATTGCAGTCAAAAGAAATTTTAGTATTACAATTCCTCAAATCATTAAAAATTAATTTTTGTAACTTGCAATTTCAGAATTTGTGACTTAATATACGAAATTTAAAATTATAACATACATCAAAAGCTTTGTTGACATGCATTTTCTGAAAAAATTTAGGATCAATATGATCCGGAGTCAATTTATGAGCAATTTTCAATCCTAAACTTTTTGCCCCTCCATCACATCGAATTACGGCCCGAAAATGATTTTTTTTATTACACCATCTGGAGTCTGAAAAACAACATAACATTATACATGCATTCTACAATAAAAATAATGATACGATACTACCATTATTGCTTCTTTAGACATAATAAAATTTCTAAAATTTTTTATAAGATGCGAAAAATCGCTGCAGAACCACAGACGTCGCGAGTTGGTAGTAGTTATTTCGTTATCGTTTGAGCAAGGGTGAACACAACTAGCATCTAAGTCTTTCAAACCAAAGCGTTTCCACATTCCCCTGTTCCATTGACCACCGTCAGCTGTTACTACGTCTACGTTGAAACCCACATTTTCTAATAAACAAATGCATTCGGTAACGAGATGACTTAGTACTTCGCCATTTGCAGCACCTTTGCTTAAGAATGCTGCAATATTTTGCACCCACTTGCCCCGAAAAGGTTGGAATATTAAAATAAGTGCGTGATCAGCACGCTCTGTTTTTTGATGATCAGGGGTGTAATCTCCTAAATCGGTAAACCCCATTACCGACAACTTTTCTGTGTCAAAATTCACCCCTTCACTTATAGACATCTCGTCTAAAACTAAAACCCCTGCAAAATCAAACAAAAATTAATTAACTAATGATTAATGTTATTTTTATTCAGATATTAACAAATTTCACCTCTTCTATCTTCCGGCTTCATAGCCTCGCCTTTTTTCTTTAGCATTTTGAAAACCATTGGATCAAACCCATATTGTGGTTTCATATTTTTTAAATATTTCCTTAAGGTACTTAATGTCGGTAAAGGAAGAATGTTATGACTCCGCAAATGAAGATACGCTTTCCTACTTTTTATACTTAACAAAAGGCATTCCAAAAACCCACTTTTTGCTATATCTCATTCCCCTTTTATCTTTTTCTTTCCCATACGTATGTATATGCCTCACAACCTCCTGCATTTGCAGAGGTAAATCTTTAATTGCAATAGTTATTGTTTCTTCATTTTGCTTTGAACAGCGTTCCATTAAATCTTCTATATGCTCCTCAAGGGACTGAATCTAAAATAAAAATAAAGGTTATGCATTTCGTTTTCAAATAAGAACTATCTATTTAAGTAGTAAATATTTTTAGCTTTTTTAAACAGCGACTATATTTATTTTTAATATTACGCACAACTTTTTTTTTCTATTCATCTTTTTTTCCAGTCGAATTTTCCTACGTTGCTCATTTTTCTTTTCTTTTTGCATTTTAATACCACAATCTTTACAAACCTCACTGCATGAGTGGGCTTTGCGTACGAAAAAACCATTTTTGCAAAAGCCGTGCCAGGATTTTTTACACAAGTTTAAAGAAGAAATAGTTATCATTGCCAAACGCAAATCTTCGAAGCAAGTAACTTTTTCAAGTACATGGAAGTTTGTTGTTTTATCATGAGCTCTAATCTGCAAATTAAATTGACGCGTTAAATATTATTTTCTATAATCGCAACATTCACTCACTTCTTTTTTTAAATAAACTTACCTCAACATTCATATTTTCCTTAACGAAAATAGAACGGGTTATTTTGCACATCATGTCCCCATTGAAGTAAAAAAAGAGTCCTTCATTCTCAATAATATTCATACCCCAATATTGTGGACAACTGTCGACGTTCCTATTATTCCAGTCTTTCAATAAATTGTTAATGTTATATTTCTGAAAAGTTTCTGAAGTTGTACTTGGATCTGGAGTAGGAGTAGAGAGCGACATCAAATGGTTAACAAAATTTACTTTCTTTTTTGAATTTGGAGATAATTCATAATTATTTGTCCTGGTAACAAGTGTTGGCGAACTTTGGTTAGGCGAAACTATTATTGGCTCTGCAGACTATATAAAATAAAAAAAAATTTTAAATTGTAATTAATATCTTCTTTATAAAAATATTTTCATAATTTTAAATATAAAAACTTTTAAATGACAAAAAATGAATTAACATTTTTTTAAATGCATAAAAAAATTGTAACAGTCAACATTTACACATTTTTTAAATTTAGTTATAAATATTTAATAAGCAAGTAAGTCTATAAACTTTTATAATGAGACTTTAAAAATAATTCGAAACATAAACTTCAATACAATTAAAAGTTACCTGCGACTCGAAAATAGATGGTATGCTGCCACTTTTTAACGATAAACGTTGACGAGGTTTAGTTAACTTGATTCCATCCTGCAATACTTCTATTGCATTTTTTTGCAAACAATTTTCAGCAAAATGATTCTCACAAATAAATAATTTTTTTTTCTAAGACCTCTTTCATTTTTTAGGTTAGAATTACCAATAGATTGCAACCACCGGTTTTGAGATTTCTATAAATTAAAAATTTTTGTTCGTATTAAAAAATTTCGTTCATACATAAATTATTTTATTAATATTATCATCAAAAATATTGCATCCTATTAATTCAAGGAACATTTTTTATACACATACATTCATCGAAAAGTGAATCAAATTAACTTACCTTATCTTTAGGAAAACTAAACAAAGTTTTTCTATTTTCTTGGATGCTGCTGCTTCTACAATTTTTGATGCAGCAAATTCGCACCATTATTCAAATTTTAATCAAAAATTTTCTTGACAGAAACTCAAAACAATTTTAAATCACCTTTTCACCATATCTCATTCAAAAACAACGTGCTAATAATATATACATGTGTTTGTGATGTGCAGAAGACTCAAATTCGTTTACCGCGCAGTAACCGAACTGCAAAGTCCAACCGACTGCTGTCCCATTTCCTTTACATTACCCCCACTACTATGTTAGACCTCCTGTTTCTAGTCTTCTTGGTTTCGTGTTACATGAGGTTTGTTCTCGCTAGCTACACCTCTACACTCGAGTGTAACAAGCATAGAGATATTATAAATAGAGTGGGGAAGGTATAGGCGGCAGCGTGTGGGGGAAGTGTCCTGCCATAAACAGAATGGGTTGAAGGGAGAAAGAAGATTTAACACCAGTATCTGTCCTTCAAAGAGCTCCAGCGCAAGAGAGACACCTACTGGTGTTAAGTCTTCTTTCTCTTTCTATCAAGCGGACGCATACATGCAAACCATCCCCACTCTATTTATACTATCTCTATGGTAACAAGAGTGTAAAACGGAGCATGCGCACTTAAACAAAGTACAAAATCTAGCGAGAACGCAAAAGTGTAGAGAAAGTGCACGAAAAAATGAAAAAAAAATTAACGCTATCTTAATTGTAAACTGCATACAATCTGTAATATAGTTAGGTTTTATAAATAAATATATGGGTCATTTTATTTAAAACAAACCACCTTATAAACAATTGCCATTGTGAAGCAATTTTTTAAATAATTATTTCTCACATTTATTAAAGCCAAAATTTATTTACTATTAGTGATTTTAAGAGAAAAATTTATCAGTTTTATGATGTTAAAATTTTGTTTTTTAAATAATAGGATTTATTCCTATTATTCCCTGTAAACTTTATAATGGGCAATTCATGGAAATTTGAGATATTAATTAAATTTTACAAGAATTTCGAAGGTCAAATGTATGTACCGAGCAGAATTTAATTTTTTCAAATTTTTACAGTTTAAACTCTGACATCTTTGTAAAATTTAATTAATTTCTTAATTTCAACCGATTTGCTCATTATAATGTTTACAGAGAATAAAACTAGAATTTTTAAGCTTCATTTTCACATAAGTTTCAAGAAAAACGGAAGCGACATGTTTTGAAATATTCTAAAGCCCACACAGCACATGATATTTCCTAAATATTTCCTGAATATTTCACTAAAAGATTGAAATATTTCAGTGCAACGTTCTTGAAATATTGCTGCAAACAGGAAAATGTCCGCTTATGTGGAAATATTGACGCGAAAGTTGAGAAAATATTTCATTGAAATATTCCTGCAATATTACACATGACTTTTCTGCAATATTGTGAAAATATTTCACAAAATGAAAAAATTTGTTAAACACCTGAAACCAATAGGAATTTTTTGAAATATTTTAAAACCCATAGGACTAAAAAGCCAAAAACTACTGCGCAGCTCTACAGGCCATAGAAACTGAGTTCGACCAGTGCGCATCATTTCAGTTGAACATATTCAGGATATATTTAGGAAATATCATGTGCTGTGTGGGAAGGTTATCTTTCAAACTTAATTTTTTTCATAAATTCTATTATTTTTTAAAAAATATGTTTACCATCATAAAATTAAGAAATTTTTTTTTAAATTCTATGTAAATAAAGTTTTGTTTTAATAAATGGGAAAATAATTATTTAAAAATTGCTTTACAATGTTAATTGTTTATAATGTGGTACTTTATATAAATATTAACAAAATAAGAATTGCTTACTAATAATTTTACAAATTAAAAGTCACTAAGAAACATATTATAATTTTATGTTCATAAAATAATTAATGCATTTTAAATAAAATGTCCATTTACCGCCATTTTAATCAGAACACTCAATTACACTCGCTCGCATTCGGGTGTAATAAAATAGGGAAAAGTGCACCGGCTTCTAGGGAGTTAGGTGTACACTATTGCGTCACTTCTGGTAACGAGAACGCCGTAGTGTACACTTTTGTACAAAGTGTAGAAAGTGTAGCTAGCGAGAACAAACCTATGGTTGCCATCCCTGTCAGTCAATTCACAAGTATCTAACCTAAAAATTTGTTTTTCATTTTTCATAAATGCGATAAATCGACTTCAAGTATTAATGTTTTGGCAAGTGTTTTGTGTTTATTTATTATAAACAATTATTTTAATTCATATTTTTATGAATTATTCCTAGTTATTCCAATGATATTGTAATTTTAGCATCCCAGTAAAAAAAAAGTATTCAGAATAGAGAAAAAGTATTGGTGGAGACGTTCGGTGAATGCGTTTTCGCGAAAAAACCGTATTGGTGGGTTACGGTGAATACATTTTGCTTACCGTGAATACTTATTTTTAAAAACTTTCGATTTAAAGATTCCTAAGCAAAGCTGAGAATATTTATAAAGAGCGTAAGTGACCTAAAGTATAAAAATGACTATTGCGAGAAGGAAATAAGAAATTTTAAGAAGAAACGAAAAATTAAATGTGACAAACAGATTGTCAAATGTTGATCAATTACCATATGCTTTTCTGTGCCTACAACGTATGATGATTAAAAGGAACTTTGACGTTACCGGCGGAACTTACTGTTTCACATACATTTACTTGGATTTCTCAAGTTTCTGTCGGTATCGTCAATGTTCCTTTTCATCATCATACATTGTAGGTTTGTCACATTTAATTTTTCGTTTTTTCTCAAAATTTCTTATTTCCTTCTCGCAATCGTCATTTTTATACTTCAGATCACTTACGCTCTTTATAAATATTCTCAACTTTGCTTAGGAATCTTTAAATCGAGAGTTTAAAAAAAAGTATTCACGGTAAGCAAAATGTATTCACCGTAACCCACCAATACGGTTTTGTCGCGAAAATGCATTCACCGAACGTCTCCACCAATACTTTTTCTCTATTCTGAATACTTTTTTTTTATTGGGATAAACCCAAAATGATAATACTCATTTTGAGTCTTTTCCCCAGAAACTCAGAATAAGTCGAAGGGGTATCATTTTTGTTGCACTTCAAAATGAGTATCATATGCTACTCATTTTGAGTTCAGATTTTTTCTGTGTTTCCATTGGTCGCGTACTGCGCATGAGCTAAGACAAGTGGGGTTAGGGCTGATCCTAACGGCTGAAAATAACTAAGGCGAAATCGAGTTCAAATTAACGCGACTTTAAGTAATCGAGACTAGTGTTCTAAAGAGGGTAAATTACGTCAAGAAGAGAAAGAAGCTTGTGGTAATTTACCGGTTCGTTTTTTCTCCGAGAATTTTTGAGAATTTAAAAATTTTTTAAATTCCCAATGGGAAATGCCAGTGTAGTGCCGATGTTCACCACTGGCTTAGTACTCAGACGATTGTTCAGCGTAGTCTAGCCGAGCCTCGACAATTAGTGCTGGCGCAGTACAGAATTTTTGTTTCGCTAAAGCTTGGACAAGCCACGGCGGCAAGTGCTGGCTGAGTATAGAAAAATTGTTCACAACGCTCTTTGCCAACATTGCTTTTTTGACATAAACTTGAAAAAAATTATAAAAAAAGTTTATAAATGTTTATAAATATAAATTTATTGAAAAAAATTAATATTTTACTTTTCAGTTGTTCATTTTTTATTCTTATTAAATTTAATAATAACAATTTAACACAATTGTCTAATTTTGTAAATAATAAATTATTTAAACAAATTAAAATTATAAACAAAATTTAAACTTTAATCTCAATAATAATTTGGTTCCTATTAAAATACTATTATACTTCTTACTATGAATAAAAAATTATTAAAAAGTTACCACGTAATTTCAGAATTACTTAAAATGTTAAATGCAATAAGTAAAGTAATTTAATTTAATTATTAAAAATTTAGTTTAATTTATTTT